TTATTAAATCAAGTTTTTATTTATGTAGGTAAAAGTATGATAAGCAACCTGGTAAAATACACCAGAATGCTGGAAAGAGCATCTATTACATTCAAAATTTTCTGGGAGAGGACCCCCCAACAGTGGGTCCCCCCACTTTTGAAATGGTTCTGACACCCATGTTTATAAGGTCACTGCGTGTATAAGGACATAAGGAAATGACCAAAACACAAAGATCTGCAGAAACTTTCAAGTTAAAATTATGTAATTTTCCTGGCCACCCCYRTGTGAGTASTGGTCCCCATCTGGCCACCCCTGAGAAAAATGTCTGGCTCCACCACTGAACTGATTTGATGTAAAGTTTTTTTTTAATGGCATTCGCCTGAACCAATATGACATTTTTTGAGACAAGTAAGATATTAACGGTTTTAACTTTTCCATAGAGCCTCACTTTTAAAGACATAGTTCATTGGCTGACAAGTGTTATGTCCCAGCTGTGTGAGGGCACAACCAGTGTTAGGTTTCCAACATTTTGTTGATAAAAACAGAACAGAATGAAATTAGATAAATGCAAATGAGTTGGTTGTATTTCCATCTCTAAAAATGTGTTCCTGCACAGGTGGGTAAATGCRATGGAGGAAGCCACAAACTTATAGGATCAACTTTCGCGCCGCCCTTAACCTCCTCTACAAACTCCTGCCTCGACTGACAGAGTCACCAAACTGGATAGACAGGAAACAACCTCTCTTCTTTGATGTCTGCATGCTGTAACCTGCCCAGCCCGGCTGAAGAGACAAAGACATCGTGTTCTTTGAAAGAGGACACTGTCTCCTACTTTGTCGACCTCCACTGTCTCCTCCCCGCTGCTGCAGCAGGTGCAATGCTGAGATGTTGGCCCAGATAGCTACCGGTGGGGAGCGTTACTTCAATGTGACCCATAATTCACTTAGTGGCTCATCAGCAACATTCCTCTAAGTTGAATGGAAAAATACTTGATCACTATCACATCTTAAAAAAAGACATGCTTTATAATTTAAAATGTATCTGATTAAGAGTAATTTATTAAGAAATGAGCAAAAATATACTAGCGACATATTTAGTTTGAATACATTTAATGCCTTAATTTCAATCATATCCATAATGAATACTTGGAAACAGACTGAGCAGGTCTTTTCTTTACATATGTAGCTTTTGTCCCTTTCCCCCCACTTTTTGCACAAAAAAGAGCATGAATTGATGTACATCACAAAGATAAATAAATAAATAAAATAAAATAAAAATAAAAATAAAAAAGCTCAGCTACCGCACTTAATTTGACTTTCTGCTGATAAAACGTTGTAACCAGTCAGGTCATGAGTGTAAAGAGTCTTTATGTCTGTACAGCAATGTCGGCAGGTGGAACAGAAATATTAGAGACTATGAACTTTGTACTGAACTGAACGATTTATGAGATTTATCTACAACATGTAATTTTAAAACAGTAAAAAAAAAACATGGTGAAATTTATGGAAGCTGTCAGGTTTTTTATTCTCCTCGTGTCCTCTAGATGGCAGGTGAATTTAACATTTTACAGTACACTTGGGTGTTACCCATTTCCCGTACAGTACAAACACCAGAATCTTCTGTGCTCCACTTGTGGGACTCCTTATATTTTGTGTCTGTGCTGACACATGAGCCATGTGTGGCCGGCTCTGATGAAACATCAAGCTGGCAAACGGTTCAGATCCCACTCTGAGCTGATGGAGACGAGGCAGGAGGGACAGGACCGATGTACTGGGYGGCCAATGAAAGGCCAGGCCCGCTCTGCTTCTCGTCTCCCCCTGAGGCTGCCTGACCCAGAATATTATCAGGCGCAAAGTTTGCTTTCTGGGGCTGCTGAAAAGTTGCAGACATCTCGTCCTAAATAAAGGACACGCCATTTATCACTCTGCTCTGTCTTTTCAGTTCCTCTTCTGCTTTTTTACTCTCTCACTCTTTTCTTCTTTTCATCACGTCTGTCTTTTTTTGTTTTCTGCTTGTGCTGCTATTTGTTATGACACAATGATTATYCCCCTTGCACTCAATGCTCCTGAACCCCCTCGTTTAATTATATAGAATATTTATCAAAAGTGCATTTTGGAAATGTAACTAAAATTGTATTTTCTYCTTTTAGTAAAGCTAGATAATTAGCAGCTTCCAAAAACAAATAGTTTTTAAAAACGTTATTTTGCAGCTCATGCAAAATGTCTCACTTGTATTTTTGAACTTCTGCTAATGATCTTTTTTAAACAGGAAGTTGTACATTTACTAGCAGAACATGAAATATATAAGCATAAAAGGTGCAATGAGTGAATTATTTTAGACCAAAATGATCATTTTAGATCAAATCTACAGCTGATTAATTTWTGGAATCAMGTGATGAAAAAATGGCTGCCAGYGCTGAGCAACATGAGCAAACACAGTTTTACAGATAATGAAGTCAGATTTGGTGCAAATTTGTGCAAAATCGTGACCTAAAACCTTTGTTTTTATCTGTTAACCTCAGCCTTGTTTGCCAGCAAAATATCTAATGAACCACTGGACTGATTTAAAAAAAAGGTGGAAAGTCTTTAATTCAAGGATACAACTGATCAATGTTTGAAGTCACGCCAATTTCAAGATGGCTGCCACCAATTACCCAATTGCTAAACATATATGTTTTACAAATACTGAGCTAAATTCCTGTGTAGTATTTGCTGAGAGTCATCTTCAACACATACACAGAGTGCTATCCTTTGCACAACAGTTTTGCCTAAAACTTTATCAACTCTTTGTCAACACTGTATTTGTTAGCAAATTAACTCATGAACCACAGAGCAGATTTTGWTAAAACTTTCAACAGGAATCATTGGTTGAACTTCTATGACTGAGTGACGTTTGGACTCAACCCAATTCAATGGTCACTAATGTCAAGTGACTTTCTGAAGCACAAAAATGACTATAACTCAGCCAGATTTTACAGATATTGAGCTAAAATTTGGTTGTGAGGTGTGACGATGGCAGAAAGTGGGGGTGGACATCTGTAATTAAAACTCTGAAATGACAGGCAGCAGGTAATATACATTCCTTAAGGATTACAGGCTTTCAATGTGATGTAAGGTTTTTGTTTGACATGGTTGAATTTCTTTTGCATTTCAGCATAGGAAAGTCACCTGAATTTCCCCTCTGCAGGACAATAAAGGCTATTCTATTCTATTCTATTCTATTCCTTCAACACCACTGCAAGCAAGGGTAGCATTACCAATCCATCTCATCATACCCAATAAGGTCAAATTAACTCAGTTTAGCTGTTGTTCACTATTTAATCACTGACAGCTGTTGCTAAACTGGCTGACCTATTTGAACTTCCTCATTTTGTGGCCTTTTTTTTTTCATTTTAAAGAGTTCTGTACATTTCAAAATCCTGATAAACTCTTCATACATTCTGAAAAACCAAAAGCTAAATGTCTGGATCTGAACAACATGGCGTCTCCTCTTTTATRCTGCTGTGTGGGCAGCACATCCTCGGGGGGATAAAAGAAAAGAGTTCATTATGCAATAGCTGTATATTTAAAATGAGGCGATGAAACGGCTTCATCCACTCGACATTGGCTTGACATTTTTGGGTTTTCACTTTGTCTTGTGTTTCTCTGCATCCTTCAGGGATGAAGGAATAAAAGAAGAAGCAGAGAGGCTGGAAATATAAAGGGACACACTCTTCTGTCCCACTTTGCAAACTCTTTGCAGCCCACACTGCCAAGTCAATGTTACACCTATTCCACCTCCCCTAAAGCTTTAAATAGCCTTCTCTCACTCAATAGGACAAACAGGGAAAAAACACACTGTCTTCAACACATTCTGCACCTCGGACTGAACATTTATTACCCCTGTTGCCTAAAATTGGAGTTTGTGCTGTTCTTTTCATTCTCCTGAGCCATAATCACCTTTCTGCAGAGGATAGGATAAATAATCCCTCCTCAGCAGGACAAGCAGAGGTCTCTGGGAAACATAAAACTATAATAATTAGTTTGATACTCATGTGTCGCATTCTTGGTGAGAAGTAAATAAAAAGACTTTTATATTTTAAGGTTTTCCATTTTGTATGAACATGGCTAAGAACCTGATTGAATAGATAAAAAACAAAAACAAAAACAAAAGTAAGCCATGGGAAACTTTGTCCAGCTTTATTCTCAGGTAACCCTGATGTATATCTTGTTAAATTACTTGAAAAAAAAAAAACTAAGAAAACACATCAAGTTGGGGTTTTGTTGGGGGTTTATGTAACAGATTTGGGAAGCTGTTACTTGGCAACCTCTCAGGATTTTAGGAAGTCACAGTTTTAGTAAAAAAAAAAAAGTCAGGATCATAACTTTCAATTAGTTTTTACACAGATGTAATAATAATGTAGGTGTTTGTTAACTTTGTTCGGCAAGTACTATCAATACATCATGTTTCTTGAGACACGATGTATTTTTCTGTTTTTACCTTTTATTCATAAAAAATAAACAATCAACAAACATGCAGTTTCAGGCTAACTGTGAAACTGATCAATTAACCCAAGTCTTGGATGAATTTGAGGTACTTTGCTTAAAAAAGAAAATTTCAATCAATGTGTGCCAGTGCGATTTTGATTCAGTGGTAATCTTTTCTTTTCTCCACATTTTTTAATTATTTTTTTTCTTTGAGAACCAGTCTGTTTGCAGTAAGAAGTATTACTGGAGGAGCTGAAGAAAAAACTGCTGCTGTGTTTCTTCCCTTTTTGTTTATTTTTACTCATCACATTTGGTCATATTTTCCTGCTGAAAGCACACAACAAAATTATTTTTACCCCACATGATTCACTTCTTCAACTTTATTCTTCAAATTATCAGCCGTGCAATTTGTGTTCCATTTTTYCCATTTACTGTGAGGTCTATAAATGTTATTGATCAACATTAATGTTAACAGCTGAGAGTTAAAACTGTCACACATTTTGTTCATATGTGTCACTTATTCACTAACTCAAATACAGCTGTGGAATGTCAGTGATGAGTCTTGAGAGAGCAACATGGCAATATGTGATTAATGCTGCCTGTTAAAGAATGTGCCATGGGTTGACTGGGTTGTTTAAGTGTTTTAGAATTAGCTTTTGCTAAAGTTTTTGGGGCATTAGTGCTTTAGAATTAGGGGACTTAAATATTTGAATTAGTGTTTTAGGGCTAGTGGAATTAATTTTAGATTAGTGCTGCCCACCACTGCATATACAAGTGCTATATTTAATCTATATCTATATACAGTATATCTATATAATAAATATATACAGTGCTTTTCCATTAAAAAACTATGATAGTGATTAACCTCAGCCAAATGATCAAGACAAAACAAAAAAAAAGCACAAATCAGAACATAACCTCCAGCATGTTCAATGAACACAAATACAGTGGGGTACGAAAGTTTTGGCACCCTTGTTAATTTTCCTGATTTACCTTTATAAATCATTGATTGTTTGGATAAAAAAATCAGTAAAATATATCATATAGKGGACAAACATAGTGATATTAGAGAAGTGAAATGAAGTTTATATGATTTACAGAAAGTGTGTAATAATTGGTTAAACAAAATTAGGCAGGTGCATAAATTTGGGCACCGTTGCCATTTTATTGATTTCAAAACCTTTAGAACTAATTATTGGAACTCAAATTTGGTTTGGTATGTTCAGGGACACTTGACCTCCATACATAGGTGACTCCAATTATGAGAAAGGGTATTTAAGGGGGCAATAG